AAAGCTTTTAGGTTTTTTGGTTTTTTTTTTGGTCAGTTGTGGGGCCTGAACTCTGGGCCTGGGCGCTGTCCCTCAGCTCTTCAGCTCAAGGCTAGTGCTCCACCTCTTGAGCCACAGCGCCACTTCTGGCTTTTTGTTTATGTGGTGCTGAGGAATCGAACCCAGGGCCTCATGCATGCAAGGCAAGCAATCTACCACTGAGCCAACCTCCCAGCCCCGTTTCTGAGCTTCTTTAGCTCAAGGCTAACACTCTACCACTTGAGCCGTAGCACCACTTCTGTCTTGTTCTGTTTATGTGGTACTGAGGAATCAAACCCAGGGCTTACATGCTAGTCAAGCACTCTACCACTAAGCAACATTCCCAATCCCCATTTGCACTTTTTTACTGGTGCCAAGAAGAGCATCTTTCTCTTGAGTCTTGCCTTCTGTGCTCACCCTAAAGACACCAGCATATAGTGTACAGTCTGGCAAATCATCTCCTTTTCCTGGTCTCACTAATTTAAATTTGAAACTATATATTTTATGAAAACAGAATATTGGGGGAAGGGACCAGTACTAGGGTTGAAACAACAGTAAGGGGATCGGGGAGAGGGGTGCCCTATAATCCTAGCTACTCAGGAGGCTGAGTCTGAGGATCGTGGTTCTAATCCAGCACAGGCAGGAAAGTCCATGAGACTCTTATCTCCAGTTAGCTACCAAAAAAGCCAGAACTGGCACTGTAGTTCAAAGTGGTAGAACACTAGCCTTAAGTGAAAAAGGTCAGGAACAGCACCCAGGTCCTATGTTCAAATCCCATAATCAAAAGCAAAAACAAAAACAACAACAAATAAAAACAATAAAAAACTTCAGGACCTCTTTACCTACTTGCCTGGCACTCTGCCACTTGAACCACACCTTCAGCCTGACATTTTGATGATTATTTTGGGAAATAGTGTCTCTTAGATATTTCTCTCTGGGCTGATTTACAATGTCTTTTAGATTTCAGTCTCCTGAGCCACTAGGAATTCAGGAATGAACCATCAGCACATAGCTTAGAGTAATTTTTTTTTAAAATTATTGTGCCTGATGAACTTAACAACTTTGGTAGGGGGTGGGAGGGAGGATCGGGTCGGGGAGGGGAGGAGTATGGGAAGGGATGGGAAGGGGAACCAACGAGGAGGCAACAATGCTTGATAAGAAATGTACTTGTTATCTTGCCCATGTAATTGTAACTCCTCTGTGCTGTATTCTTACAATTAAAAAAAATTATTTTGCCTGCAGTGTCTTATATGTCTTGTAAAGTCCAAATATGTCTAAAGTTTATTTCATTAGGAAAACCAGAGAGAGAGCAATGAAGAGACAAGGAAGATTATTATTTCTAAATCAGCGAGATCGTGCTTTAGTTTATAGTTTAATTTAATTTGGAGATAGGGTCTTAACTATGTAGCTTTAGGTGATCTCAAAATGTAATCCTCAGTGGTACTCACTGGACACTATGTTGAAAATGAACGATACAATTTGTGGATGGGAACAGGAGAAATTGAAAAAGAATGAGGGAAAGGATAACATTGTCCAAAAAGAAATGTATTCATTACTTGACTTACATAAGTGTAACCCCTCTATATATCACCATTTTAATGACAATAAGAAAAAGAGAAAAAAGTCACCTTTCAAATACTTAATTATAATAAGGGCAACCCAGGGTATAAAAACACCAAGACTCATGTTCATTAATTGCTTTGTTTAGTATTGGTGGACTAGATTTGGTTTTGGATGAGTAACTTAAAAATGACCTTGTGCTTAATTTGTTTTGTTTTGTTGGTCATGGGGCTTGAACTCTGGCCTGAGCGCTGTCCCTGAGCTCTTCAGCTCAAAGGTAGCACGCTACCACTTGAGCCACAGCACCACTTCAGGCTTTCTGGTGGTTTATTGGAGATAAGAGTCTCACATCTCACAGACTTTCCTGCCCAGACTGCTTTGAACTGCAATCCTCATATCTCAGCTTCCTGAGTAGCTAGGATTACAGACATGAGCCACTGGTGCCCAGCTGTGCTTAGTTTTTTTTTTGTTGTTGTTTTATTTATTTATTTTTTTTTGCCAGTTGTGGGGCCTGAACTCTGGCCTGGGCACTGTCCTTCAGCTCTTCAGCTCAAGGCTAGCACTCTATCACTTGAGCCACAGCACCACTTCCAGCTTTTTTTTTTATTTCTGCTTATGTAATGCTGAGGAATCAAACCCAGGGCCTCATGCATGCAAGGCAAACACTCTGCCACTGGACTACCTTCCCTGCCCCTTGTTTTGATTTTTGTCAGTTGTGGGGCCTGAACTCTGGGTCTGTGTGCTGTCCTTCAGCTTTCAGCTCAAGGCTAGCACTCTACCACTTGAGCCACAGTGCCACTTCCAGCTTTTTCTGCTT